ATTTGCTCAATTCCAAAAATTGTTAACAACCCTTTGATGAAGTAAATAACTAAGACTTAGTTTGAGTTTTTAAACTTCGGGCTTGATTTTATCAATGAATGTAACAGGCTTTATACACAATCTTGCAGATTCATCATCAAAGCAGTAATATCCTCATATTTTTTACTTTTGACATAGATATACAAGATACATGCAGACACTGAAGAGGGGGTTTATATTGTAAAATATGTAAAATAACATAACTATCTCAAAAATTATATTAAATTCTAAAAAAATATAAAAACTTCTTTTAAGTGGGCTAAAGGGAAAAGTTTTTCTAAAATATGAACCCCTGCTGTACAGTCTGTATAATATTCATAATGTACACATTTTACATTCGTCTTTATTTATTCAAGATATGTTTTACAACTCTTCTTTTTACATGTATCTATCTATCTATCTATCTATCTATCTATCTATCTATCTATCTATCTATCTATATCTATCTATCTATCTATCTATCTATCTATCTATCTATCTATCTATCAATATATATCTATATATCTATATCTATCTATTCTGGTAGTAAACTATCTATCTATTCTACGAAACTAACTATCTATCTATCTATCTATCTATCTATTCTATAAGTAAACTATCTATTGTTTTAGGCCTAAAATTAAGCAATTATCAATTTACGATTAATTCATGGGTTTTTCATTCTTAGGCAGAATACACAAAGGCAGGAAAATAAGCAGACTACAATAGTAATAGACAGGCAAACAAGCAATCTACAATATTAGTAGACAGGTAAACAAGCAGACTACAATATTAATAGACAGGCAAACAAGCATACTACAAGAATAGTAGACAGGCAAACAAGCAGACTACAATATTAATAGACAGGCAAACAAGTAGACTACAATATTAATAGACGGACAAACAAGCAGACTACAATATTAGTAGACAGGCAAACAGGCAGACTACAATATTAGTAGACAGGCAAACAAGCAGACTTCAATATTAATAGACAGACTAACAAGCAGACTACAATATTAATAGACAGACAAACAAGCAGACTACAATATTAATAGACAGACAAACAAGCAGACTACAATATTAATAGACAAGCAAACAAGCATACTAGAATATTAGTAAATAGACAAACAACCAAACTACAATATTAATAGACAGACAAAGAAGCAGACTAGACAGCCAGATAAGTAGACAAGTAGACAAGCAGATAAGTAGACAAGTAAACAAGAAGAAAAGTAGACAAGTAGACAAGTAAACAAGTAGACAAGTAGACAGGTAGACAAGTAGACAAGTAGACAAGTAGACAAGTAAACAAGCAGATAAGTGAACAAGTAAACAAGAAGACAAGAAGACAAGTAGACAAGTAAACAAGAAGACAAGAAGACAAGTAGACAAGTAGACAAGTAGACAAGTAGACAAGTAGACAAGTAGACAAGCAGATAAGTAAACAAGTAAACAAGAAGACAAGTGGACAAGTAGACAAGTAGACAAGTAGACAAGTAGACAAGTAGACAAGTAGACAAGTAGACAAGCAGACAATCAGAAAAGCAGATAAGTAGACAAGTAAACAAGTAAACAAGAAGACAAGTAGAAAAGTAAACAAGAAGCCAAGTAGACAAGCAGATAAGTAGACAAGTAAACAAGGAGACAAGTGGACAAGCAAGGAAGTAGATAAGTATACAAACAAACAGACAAAAAAGACTTAATTAGATAAATAACAAATAGAATCAAAAACAAATTCCTACCCTTCCCTACCCTCCCCTATGAAACAAACCTTGATATAGCTTTACTGCAAAATTTACCATTATAAAGGAAATGAGTTTTACCAACAATTTATAATTCTGTATATTTCTGCAACCTGATGGTGTATACTTTTGATATTTCAAACTTCTATTAAATGATCTGACAGAATTCATAGGCTTGAAATATCAAAGGTTTACGACATCGGGTTGCAAAGATATAGAGATTGAAAAATCAGAGCTTGTAAAAAATTCATAAATGTGCCTAGAAAATTAGTTTTTTATCCTTCTGACAATTTTGGTTCATTTATTTTGTAAAATTTTTCAAATAATTATTACAATATCATATTAACCATAAAGAGAGTTATTGTAATATTGATAAGTTAGATAATTCGGTCACTCAAAATAACGGGGTGCTTCATATCTTATTAGGTTAACAGAAAAATGAATTTGCTGAGTTTGATTTGAATTAATTTGTTTTATGCTGATGACTAATGTAACATGATTAAATCTGTTCACGGCTTCGTCAATATAAATCAACAAAATATAATTCAAAAATATCAGAATTTTAACTTCCTTACTGAATAATATTATTAAGGGAGTATAAGTTCACATCAAACTCAGGTGAATTACACGTTAAACTGAAATCTTGTATGTTTTCTTATTTAAGAGCTATTAAGAATTAGGAAAAAAGGTTTTGGATAATGTATGATATTGTATCTTATCTACAACTTGTAATGATAGATAGATATATATATAGATAGAAAGATAGATAGATAGATAGATAGATAGATAGATAGATAGATAGATAGATAGATAGATAGATAGATAGATAGATAGATAGATAGATAGATAGTTTACTACCAGAATAGATAGATATAGATATATAGATATATATTGATAGATAGATAGATAGATAGATAGATAGATAGATAGATAGATAGATAGATAGATAGATAGATAGATAGATAGATATAGAAATATAGATGGATATTGATTGCTCCAAATTCAATCTTGCCTTTGCCATTAGTAATAATTCCGATTTCAATAATATCAATACTATCAATAACGTTAATACTATCAGTTGTTCATTCCAAATTTAATTCCCAGCGGTTGGCTTTTAATGTTCTTCATGCAACCGTAGCTATAGCCATGAAAAATAACTTTTTGAAAATGTATTCAATCTAAAATCGTTTATTATCATGAACAATGTTTCAACACTTTTCAACCCCCCTCTCGATTACAGCCTATAAGTTTCAGTAACTTTGCATAAATTACAATATATTTCTATATATATTTAGTTTACATATATATATATCTTGGGCCTTTTCTTGGAAATATAGGATGCACTGTTAAAGGGGGGGGGTGGGAGGATCACCCCACTAACGGGTTGGGGGACTGTTGACGACATTTTACAGGTTACAGGTTTTACAGGATTCTTTTTTGGGTTCCACTTTCAAAGGGTGTATAGCGTGTAGGGTATTGTTGAGCGTCAAATAAGATAAAAAGAAACAGTCCTTTAAAGGGCATCTTTAGTATTGGCCAGCAAATTCACAAATTTGAAAATTTACAAGTTTTCATTAATTTTGACCCAACTTGTATTGAATAGCAAAATCACAAATTAAAATTTACAATTTTTTATGAAATTTTCAAAATATTTTTGCTGAATTAGTTTATATATATATATATAGTGGTAGCACGATGCAAAAATAGAGAGGAACGTTTTTACCAAAAAAAAAACAAGAAAATAAAAACTAATGGAAAATTGTAATGTTGCAATTTAGTGATAAACTGAATAGTGACGCAGAAACGCAAATATTTGCGTAGGTTTTAACACTGTTGTTTCTTTCAACTACGCAAACACTTAGAACTTTTCAAATATATCGGCAAGATAATTGCGTACATCGCAAATTGCAGGATAATCGCTTGGAACATAATCGATGGGTCTAAATTGAAGATGACGCCGCTGTGGCCTATAATTTATATGAAGGAAGGTCTATCAGTTTGTATCAACGCTACATTGCGTGTATACAGGAAGTTAAGATCGAAACACGGCCATCTTAGAAATAAAATATATTTTCGATTTTTAAGTTTATATTTCGACGCAACAAACTAAAAATAGATTTTGATGTATTTTATCTCTAAATTGACGAGGACAATATTAACCCCTGGGGCATGACCCATAACCTTGAAATTCCAAACATAGCTGCAGCTGTTTTCCAAACCAAACCTCAACCCAGCTGTTCACACACATGAGCAAACCAAATATTGCAGCAATGCAACGGGGCCCAAAACATTCAAAATAATTGCTCTGTAAACTGGTTGGACTGGTAGCGTATATAGACACTGTTTAAAGGGTGTCACAAAAAGGGTTTTACAATCAAAGGTAAAAAGAATTCTCGTTTAACTTGAATGGAATGCACCCTGGATTTTTGTGCGAGGGCAAGATTTTTTGGACACCCCTTGAATGAAAACATTGAAGGCTAAATTACTTGGCCAATTGTTGGCCTGACCTAGCAGAGATAAGCGTATAAGTAAGGAAATTGCCTAACCAAAATGTTTAATTGTGGTGACAGTATGTAAAAACTGCCTTTTTTGTCGGTACATTCTTATCTCTAAGGTTTTAACCCCAGCCCTCCCCCTCATTTTTCCTAAGGTTTTGAAACACTCGGTTCTTTTACCGAACTGTCAAGATAAAGATAAAGGATGGATCTGATTTCATTTCAGATGGTTTCCTTTTCCGTTCACACACTTGCCTGGCGGCCATTTTATTTTTACTTGTTACACGCTTTTGAAGAGGCCATTTTGTTTTGAGGAGGTCAATTTCTGTTAAGTTTTTACACGCTTTTGATGTTGTATAATTTAAACATGGTTTTCTGTTGTTATTATCATTATCATATTGATAACTCATGGTGTTGTGGGAGGAAGTTTTGGGTATTTTCATAATTATGCCTAATCAAGTAATGATATAAATTATCTATAGAATGCCTCAAAAATAGGAATTATCAATAAGATAGAATCATATGTAGAGTGTCTCAAAAATACTAAACATAAGCAATATACATACATCTCCCTGGTGAATTGTCTCCAGGGAAGTACACTTAACAATGCTATTTTTACTGTACACTGTACATGTTCGGTCTAAACCCAATTAGCCTGTCACCGTACCGTACATATTTGGTGTACATTTCTAAATTGTTTATTGTTGAGATTTCTAAAAAGAGTTTTAGATTTAATTAGACCTACCTTTCATTTAACTCCCCCTATAATCCATCAATCATCTGCACAACCTCTACAAATAAAATAAGATTAAAAAATATGTTAAAATAGAAGTTAAAATTTCATTGAATATGCAAAAAATATGTCTCTTCTGAAAGAGACCCTAAGCGTATATTCAAATGACCCTCCATGCGAAGATGGAAATGTCAGATTTACAAGGTAACCCTTGAAAGTTTTGTCTGATCAAATATGAATAAGATATCCATGTTATTGTCTATTTAAATTGTTTTATTTTATTTGAGGTTTCTCTGCAAAAGTGATGTCCGCATTCCTTACTTATAACTAAGCAACGGAGAAACTTACAAAAATATACATTTTACGAGTCTGAAAAACGACAATATCTTCCAAATTTTTTACCAGAATAAGGTTTCCAGGATACCGTTGTAAATCGGGTATTGCAATCTCTGCAGGGAGGGCCCCTTGAAATTACGCATACTATGACAAATGTGAAAAATAAATAATATTTTAAAAGTCAAAATTTTGCATCTTTTTTCAATTTTAATTTTTTCCAATGATTGTTTTCCTGTAAATATCCCGCCGAACCCGAGCTAGGTATTTAGAGGTTAAAGTTGAGCTGAAACCTATACGTAGAATTTATATAGGATATAGGCGACTAACCCCAAACACACAAGTGCAACCCTTCTAATGCTCGCTACTAAATCATTAGGCCCCCCCCCCTCACAGCAGAGGGTGGTATGAAAAAGGATAAAATGAGTATTTTCTGGAAAACATTCTTACTTCAATAATATTTCATGGAAAAAGAATTGAGTCTTTGCCTCAAACTCAATTTTTTAAAATCCTTTTACCTTTGAAACCTGATGGTGTAAACCTTTTATATTTTAAACTTTGATTGATCTAACAGCTAGAATTCATAGTTTAAAATGTCTAAGGTCTACGACAGAGATATAGGGACTTGAAAATCAGAGTTTGTGCCCAAGACCAATTCCTTTGGTTTAGAAAAGAAATATAATTTTTTCTAAATTGGATTTTTCGAACAAGCATGATGATTTTGACCCACACAAACTTAAAATCATACAGTATGAATAACAAGAAGAGTAGAACTATGCCTATATAGTTAAACTTCTTCTCTAGATATATTCTCTAAATATTTAATTTTATTTTAGAGATAATGACAAAACCTTCCTTATTGTTAGTCATATAAAGGTTTAAAGGGTACCGTTGTGAATCAGGCATATTACTCTTTAAACAGAGGGACAATTGAAATTCCGTTGATAGTCTCTTTAAAGACAAGCGAACACACAAGCTTTTATCCTGAGTTCCTATGTTTATTGTGTAGTATAAGACTGGGTTAAGAAGTCAGGTCGAAGTCGTGAAACTATTTTTCAAAATATATATCAGTTTCAGAGATATGATAGATAGGACAGATAGGATAGATAGGATAGATAGGATAGATAGGATAGATAGGATAGATAGGATAGATAGGATATAGGATACATAAGAAAGATAGGACAGACAGGATAGATAGGATAGACAGGATAGATAGGATAGATAGGACAGACAGGATAGAGATATGATAGATAGGATCATTAGGACAGGATTGTTCTTTTTTTATCCTAATTAACAACGCATTCTTCTAATTATCAAGGTATAGTTTTGCTTGGTTTCTTGCAGATCTGCATTTTGTGCATTACTGCATTATACTGCTTTAAAAACGACAATACCTTCCTAATTTGTAATCAGATATTACACTTTATGACTGGAGGGTCACTGAAATAAAAAATTTCCTTGTAAAAAATATGGATTTTTATAAATCTGCAATTTTCCTTTAAGAGTTTAACAAACTGTGGAAGTATTGAATTGATTCATTAAACTAAAATTTAAAAGTAAAATCTGCCCTGTCATCGCTTTTATACTACTTGCATTTTTGCACGCAGGCTTTAACATAAATTATAGGATCAGATAATTCAAGCAATCAATAAGGAGGGGGAAATCACAAGAAAAGTTAATACCAGAAGAAATATAAGAATATGCTATAACTGTATAAATCCCCTTCCTACTACTGTGTATTTAAGCTTTCCAAAGAAAAATACTGTTTAAATTTCACTTAAATTGAAATAATATCTTAAATGTCTGGGTACAGCGTACAGGGTGTTATATAATGTAGAATAACAAGATTTAGCGAAAAATTATTGTCACGTGATTTTCATATTTCTATGTCCATTAAGTGCCATCAATAATTTACAACAGTTCTCTTTGATTCTAATAGTGATTTTAACGTTTACAAAACATAACACGATAGTTTACAGAGACAGTTTTTTAGAATGTTGTCAATTGTAAATTATCTCAGAACTCTGTTGGTAATCTCTTTAAGTAATATTTCCAACTAAAAACTAAATTTGTTTTCGTAATAATTTTTAATCTAAACAAAATTTAAACCATTTTTTTTGTATCTCCTACAAACATAATTAATGCAAACACATATATATATATATATATATATATATATATATCTAGGTTCACAACAAATAAGAGGGTACCTTCATATATCTACTTAAGATAAACTATATAAATTAATACCATAATCGAATATAAAAAAAAATTTGTAGAAAAAATGCAGCTTTAATAGTAAACATTGCAAAAAAAATGTACTGCATCTCTGTTCATATTATGAATATTTTCAAGTTTTGATTAAATAATAATTAATTATATATTTTTATCAGTAAGATGGCCAAAGCAGGCCAAAAAGCTGGATCGAATTGGCAGACATTTTTGAGGGAACCCGTGGTTATCCCGGTGTTTTCCACGGGCAACGCCGGGAACTTCAGCATAAGTTAATGACATAGGAAGATGTTCTACTCTAATTCAGTTGAACAAGATATATGATATTGACATCATTAATGTTTTGCCATTTCTTCATGTGGAGAGAAAGAAAAGTATATTTGATTTGTGTCAATTATTTGATTTTGTAAATAATATAATACTCACGAGTCAAACTGTCAATCGGTTTATTATTTCAATTATACATTATCTATATGCCTGTCTGTAAATATTTAAATTTTATCTGTCTAGTCTTTCTGTTTATCTGTCTAACAGTCTATCTGTCTAACTGACTATCTGTCTAACTGTCTATCTATCTAACTGTCGATCTATCTATCTGTCTATCTGTCTATCCGTCTATCTGTCTATCTGTCTATCTGTCTATCTGTCTATCTGTCTATCTGTCTATCTGTCTATCTGTCTATCTGTCTATCTGTCTATCTGTCTATCTGTCCTTCTGTCTATCTGTCTATCTGTCCTTCTGTCTATCTGTCTATCTGTCTATCTGTCTAACTGTCTATCTGTCTATCTGTCTATCTGCCTGACTGTCTATCTGTCTAACTGTCTAACTGTCTATCTGTCTAACTGTCTGTCAGTGTACTGCAAATTACTGCAGAATACACCGAAAGCTTAGTTGAGGGTGCTGTCGTCTGTCCATATATCTGTCTATCTGTCTGTCTGTCTATCTGTCTATCTGTATATCTGTTTATCTATTTGACCCACAGAGCAGTTAAATTCAGTAGCTTTAATGGCACGATTAACTTTATGCCTCAAGTTATAAATTATTTCAAATCTATTCCCAAATATACAATATGAACATCAATATGAGAACATATACAATAGTTTTAGTCAATTTATAATAATAATAATAATATCAATAATACATAGAATAAAAATTATGAAAATAATAAGAATAATGATAATGAAAAAATGAATAAAAATAAATTATATAACAGTTTTTTAGTTTATTACGATGTTGCACAATTTCACCCTGTTAATTTAAATATTTGCCCAAGGTTTCTAAACCACCCTGTATTTCCCCAATTTTGAAGATGAGTCCTGTAATTACAGGAATTACACCGTATGGACACATCTGTACAGCACAGCCTTGGAGTATTTAGTTAATATTTAGTTAACCAAGAGATATTAATCATTAGGAGTATTTAGTTAGGATTTAGTTAACCATCATTAGGAGTATTTATTTAGTATTTAGTTAACCAAGAGATACTAATCATTAGGAGTATTTAGTTAACCATCATTAGGAGTATTTAGTTAGTTTTTAGTTAACAAAGGATATTAATTATAAGGAGTATTTATTTAGTATTTAGTTAACCAAGAGATAATAATTTCTAGGATTATTCTTTAACAGGGTTAACTTGTTTTCTTGTTTTCCTGTTTTCCTGTTCTCCTGTTCTCCTGTTTTCCTGTTTTCTTTTTTTCTTGTTTTCTTGTTTTATTGTTTTCTTGTTTTCTTGTTTTCTTGTTTTCTTGTTTTCTTGTTTTCTTGTTTTCTTGTTTTCTTGTTTTCTTGTTTTCTTGTTTTCTTGTTTTCTTGTTGAACAAAGAAAATGTTTTGTTCTCTTTTTGCACATCTACTTCTTGATTGTTTCTTGAATATTGTGTTTTTGTTGATGTTTTCTTGTTGCTATGTTAATATCGTGATATTATAAATTTAAGAACTAAAACCGACCCGGCACAAAGTTTGAATTTGTCGTGTGTGTTTGTGTGTCCGTGAAGGTGTGTGTGTGTCTGTGTGACAGGTTTGACCACTGTATGAAGGTATAAGGTAGGAAGGCAGGAATGCTCATTTCCGTAGCTTGGTCTTTCAAGGACATTGTGCTTAATTAGGCACAGAATAAACCAGGAGAAAAAAAATATAAATTCAAATTACCCCAAAAGTAGTTCAGGGGAGGGGGGTGGGTGACACTTC